TGACCTACCACCACCCCCCCGACCTACGTACAACTGCGGACCTGCGCCTCTTCCGCCGAGCCCTGAAAACTCATCTGTTCCATGCGGCCGGCCTGGCGTAGTTTTGATTGGGTTTTGTTAGGGGTTCTATATTTTAGAGCAGGCTTTTATGTAATATTTACTGTGATTTTTATTATTACCTGTTCACCGCCCTGATTCCCGTAAGGGAGATAGGGCGGTATATAAATTTAAATAATAAATAAATAAATAAATAAGTGTGAGGACTGCTCATAAGTCGCTTTTCCAGCTCTGTTGCAACTTCGAATGTTTGCTAAACAAATGTTCATCAATTGACGATACCCGTGTACCTGCACTCTGCTGAACTGCCAATTCCCACAGCAGTCTCTCGTCTTCTCCCTTTTTCTCATCTTCTCATCCTTCCTCCTATCTTGTCCTATGTTGGTTTCTTAGGACTGATCAGTTGTTCTTTGCAGCTTGTAATTAATCATTGTAACTCTGATTCCTGACCCCTATGATCTATCACTTTGTTGTTGTATGTGCCTGCGCTGAGAGATTATTCACCGTAGACAAATTCCTTCTGTGTTTGATCTTACTTGGGCAATAAAAAATTGTGTTCGGTTCTATTCTATTCTGTATTCTATTCTATTCTATTCTATTCTATTCTATGTTCTATTTTAATTCTATTTTAATTCTACTTCTAATTCTAATTCTATTCTATATTCTATTCTGTTCTGTTCATTATTCTATTCTATTCCATATTTTCTATTCTATTCTATTCTATACTTTTTACTTATTCTTTTCTATTCTATTCTATTCCTATTTTATTCATTATTCTATTCTATTCTACTCTACTCTATTGTATACTTTTTCCTTATTCTATTCTGTTCTGTTCTATTCTATTCTACTCTATTCATTATTCTATTTTATTCTATTCTGTTCTGTTCTGTTCCGTTCTATTCTATTCCATCCTCTATCCTATCCTATCCTATTCTATACTTTTTCCTTATTCTGTTCTATTCTATTCCATTTCATTCCATTCCATCCTCTATTCTATCCTATCCTATCCTATCCTATTCTATACTTTTTCCCTATTCTATTCTATTCTATTCTATTCTATTCTATTCTATTCTATTCTATTCTATTCCATTCCATTCCATTCCATTCCATTCCATCCTCTATTCTATCCTATCCTATTCTATACTTTTTCCTTATTCTATTCTATTCTATTCTATTCTATTCTATTCTATTCTATTCTATTCTATTCTATTCTATTCTATTCTATTCTTCAGAATTTCCTTCTGAAGAAACCCACAACAGGGTTGCCTCACCCAGCTCTGCAAAATGCTCAATGGGAGCTGTCACATTTATTTATTTATTTATTTATTAATTACATCTATATCCCGCCCTTCTCCTTACAGACTCAGGACGGCTAACAATCAGATAAAAAACACACACATTATACACCTATTAAAATTGATTAAAAAAGAAATATTTAAACTCGTCAAATTTAAAAATAGATAAAACCCCTTTAAAATCCCTTAGGCCAGTCCCGCAAGCTGGAACAACCACGTCTTGAGGGCACGGCGGAAGGAAGGAAGATCAGGGATCACCCTGATCTCTGGGGGCAGTTCGTTCCAGAGGGTGGGAGCTCCCACAGAGAAGGCCCTCCCCCTTGGGGTCGCCAGCCGGCACTGTCTGGCTGCCGGCACCCTGAGGAGACCCACTCTGTGGGAGCGTACAGGTCGGTGGGAGGTAATCTGTGGCAGGAGGCGGTCTCGAAGATAGCCAGGTCCGATGCCATGGAGCGCTTTAAAGATGATGGTCAGCACCTTGAAGCGCACCCGGAAAGCCACCGGCAGCCAATGCAGCTCGCGCAAAAGCGGCGTAACGTGGGAGCGACGAGTCCCTCCCAACACCGCCCGCGCGGCCGCATTTTGAACTAGCTGGAGCCTTCGGGTGCTCCTCAAGGGGAGCCCCATGTAGAGAGCATTGCAGTAGTCCAGGCGGGAAGTGACAAGGGCATGAGTGACCGTGCGTAAGGCGTCCC